GGGGGCTGGGGAGTGGGGGGATGATGTAGAAGGGGTGTGGAAAAATGTCGGGATTGGGACCACAAAACTGATCTTGGACGGGCTGGGGATTGAAGGGACAATGGAAAAGTGGAAGGAAAAGGGAGAACGGCAGAAAAGGGAGGGTGGTCTGGCCGGTCCAACGATCCCATGGAGGTCTTTGGGTCCAAAAGTGCTGGGAAAGCGGGGTGCCCCCTGAGCTCCCAACTGACTGTGGGGTGCTGGGGCTGCTGGATCCAATCTCAGCCTTGGGTTATGCCAACCGGTTCAGTTCACAGGAATTACAGAGGTAGGACTGAACAACTTTTGTCCCCCAGGTTTTAAGGGTGGCAAATCAGATCTATTGATAGAAATTAATTATTTAGGGTAACAAATGATCAGACAAAAGATCTTCATCAGAATTATTTCCTGCACAATAGAAACACTAAAACTACCAGTAGTACAGCATAAGATAGGACAGTGTTCTACACTAAACCAATTGTTGAAGCAATTCTACTCAAGCTGGCACCAAAGCAAGAATTATGAAGTAGAGAGGGATGGAACTCCCCCGGACCAACGCTCGTGGGGAGATCTCTGCTCTCAACCTCCAGCAGTGACCTTGGGGGGTCCCAGCCAAGGCAGGAATCTCCACACTCCCCCCAAGAAGGGTTCTGTTGGCACAACCTGCCCCTGGCAAAGGGGACTGGTCCTTTCTGGTAGAAAGGGATGGACTGACAGTCACTGGACTCCAGGGGCTGCCTCACCATCAGGGGCGTCATTTGAGGTGGGAGCAGTGGCCGAAGCTCTTCCTGCAGTCGGGGCACTCCTAGCACCTTCCTTTCCGATGGGTCCGTTGGTGTCTGGTCAGGTGGGAGCTGTGGGTGAAGCTCTTCCCACACTCCCCACACTTGTAGGGCCTCTCTCCGGTGTGGATGCGCCGGTGCCTGATGAGGGTGGAGTTCTGGTTGAAGCCCTTCCCGCAGTCAGTGCAGCGGAAGGGCCTCTCCCCTGTGTGTGTCTGCTCATGCACGAGGAGATCTGAGCTGCCCCTAAACCTCTTCCCACATTCCAAGCACTGGTAGGGCCGTTCCACAGTGTGAATGTTCTGATGTCGCATCAAGGTGCAGATCTGGTTGAAGCTCTTCCCACACTCCCCACACTTGTAGGGCCTCTCTCTGGTGTGGATGCGCCGGTGGGTGACAAGGTGGGAGTTCAACTTGAAGCCCTTCCTGCAGTCAGTGCAGAGGAAGGGCCTCTCCCCCGTGTGTGTCTTCTCATGAATGAGGAGGTGTGATCTGCTCTGAAACCTCTTCCCACATTCCTTACATGAGTAGGGCCGTGCCCCAGTGTTGATGTGCTGGTGTCGGATCATGTTGGAGCTCTTTCTGAAGTTCTTCCCACATTCCAAGCACCTGAAGGGCTTCTCCCTGCTGGGAGGCTGCTCAGGGACCTCCAGGTTGGAGCTCCGGCTCAAGCTCCAGCCGCCTTCCCAGCACAGGATGGGTCTTTCCTCCTCACAGCTCCCTGGGCTGGCTTTGCAGCCCCTCCTCCGGGGGCATCTCCGGGCCTTTTCCTCCCCACTGCCTTCCTGTGCTGGGGAGCCCTTCAAAACGGCCTCTCCCACCAGGCTCTGCCGGGGGGATTTGTCCTCCGTGCTCTCCGTCCTCAGCTCGGGGCCTGGGGCAGGAAGGAAGAAGGACAGGCAGAGGATTTGCCTGCGGCCCAAAGGGAAGGCCAAGGACATCCCCTAGATCCAGGCCCCACGTGCACCACAAGACAGGGCCAAAGGGGCACTGACTTCCTCCTCACCTGCCTGAGGGGCCCACGTTTTTTTCCTCTCCTCCTTCATCCTCCCAAACTTTGGGAAGGACAAATCCTGCTGAGGGGAAACAAGGGCTGAGCGCATTTCCTTGGGGGTTCCTCCTGCCCAAGTCCATCTCTAGAACTCACTGGGCATCCTGGGACCATAAAAACCTCCAAAACACCAAGATTTAGCCCAGAAAAACCCAAACCACCGAGATTCAGGTAAAAACTTTTCAGAAATAGCAAGAAGATCCCCACACCCCAAACAGCAAAAAGTCGAGATTCTGTTTAAATATAAGCCCAATTCTGAAGATTAGCCCAAAAAAATCTCTCCCAGGATATTCCCCTCTCTGGTCTCTCCCCTCTGGGGTTCAGAGGGTCTCCCCTGTCTCGGATGCTGGGGGTCTCACTTAGGGATGTTGGGAGTGCTGGTGGTCCCAAGGGTCCCTTCTCCTCTGACTCTCACCTTTGGGGTGCCGCCTTCCCAGACATTCCCTCTTGAAAGGAGAGCAAGGTCTAAAGAATTACCTGAAATATCTTGCCCAGTTGAGAGAAGTCCCCCCATACCTGCTCTGCCTAAATTGCTAAAGAAAAATTTGTTCTGTTCTGTTCCTTGGACCTGATCTAAAGAAGGCTGGAAACATTCTCCAGGGGTCTGTAGGCCAGAAATTAAGGCAAAGTGAGTCAAGGTAGACATTTGAATAGGAGAAATAGGCCTAAAGCCAAGGCTCTCTCCAAGCTTCAGTGACTGGGGCAAAGACAGTGGAAAGTTAGAGGGGTCACACTGAGGAAGACTGCAGAGACCCCAACCCCGATGATGAAGAAAGGGGGATGAACCCCCAGAACTGAGGGCCAAGAAAAGCTCCACCCCAAGCTCCGCCTGAGCTCTGCCTGTAGTCCAGCTATTATCAACATGTATGATTAGATGTTGCAATCATATAAATACGGATGTAAGATGTTGTAATCATAGAAGTTACACTGTATAAATTACCCTGTTTTGTACCGACACCTTCAAGCAAGAGCTTTGTGGTGTGAACCCCGCCTGCTCCCGACATCCACAAATAAACACCTTTGCTGCTCAAAAGACCAAAAGCTTCTGGGTACTTTCTTTACTGGATTTCTCAGATTCATCTGGAGAGCAGATTGTGCCCCAGGGATGGGATTGCAGAGGGGCCCTCAGGTCCCCAGGATGAAGCAGCAACCAGCAATAGATATAAAAGGCCCCCCCAAGGATTTCAGGGGGAGTGTCCTGCAGGGAGGGGACAGTGTCACCCCACGAGGGCAGGGCTGGCAAGTGGGAGGCTGCTCCAGGTGTCTGCAAGAGGCCTCGTGCTCTTCTCGGCCCCATCAGTGGCTGGGACCAACACCCCGTCCTCGTGGCCAGCGGCTCTTTCCTGCCCCAGCCAAGAGGTTCCCGGCCCCCCAGTGCTCCCCTGGGGCTGTCCCTGCTCCTCCCTGCAGGCTCCGTGGCCGGGCACACTTTGTGTTCCTGGGTGCCACCAGCTCAGCAGCTGCAGCCGCTCCAATCAGCGCCCGCAGCTCTGCAGCAAAGCCCCAGCTCACCTGGCACACAGGCCATGGACACAGCACCTTCTCGCTGCTGGGCACTCCCAGCTCAGCCTCTTCCCCAGCATGGGGCTCTCCTGCCTCAGCACCACCTCTGCCTTCCACTTCTTCTCAGGGCCACCTCAGGGCCAGCTCTGGGCTCACCTCTGGGCCATTGCTCAGGGACACCTGGGTGGGAGAGGAGGGGCAGCACCACAAGCAGGTGAGTCCTGAGACCCCCCTGGTGTCCCCAATGTCCTCAGGGCCTCCCCATGGCCCCAGTTTCCCCCTTGACGCCCTCAATTCCACTGTCCCCAAACCCCATCCCAAATGTCTCCAACCCTCTATCATCTCCCAGGAGCCCCTTCTGGACCCTCTGACCCCAGACCACCCCCCGTTCCCCCTTCACACTCACAGAAAATTCAACGACATGTGGAGACACACTGGGGACACTTGAGGGGTTTTGGGGGCACTGGGTGATTACTGGGGGATACTGGGACACACTTGGGGGAACCAGGGGGCACTGGGAGGGACTGGGGCGTTATTGAGGGATGCTGGGAGGGTGCTGGGAGGGACTGGGTGATTACTGGGTGATTACCAGGACACACAGGGAGACACTGGGAGGTTACGGGGCCATACTAGGGGTTACTGGGTGCTCACTGGGGGATCATTGGGCCATACTGAGTGGCAGTGGGAGGTCACTGGGAAACACTGGGTTGTCACTGGGGGGGTTACTGGGCCATACTGAGAGCCACTGGGACGTCACTGGGCTATACGGGGGGCACTGGGATACCCTTTACCTGGATGTGGTTCATCTCCCTGCAAAAAATTTGGGTGGCACCGTCAGAACCCCCCTCTGAGGGCTCGGGGACCCCCTGAAACCCAATGATAGGCTTTAGGCGCACCTGAGCCCCCCTCCCTGTGGGGTCTCTGTGTGCTGAGTTTTGGGGGTCTCTGGGGTTCGGGGAGGGCTTCAGGAACCGCTTTCCCTGTGGTCGGTCCGCCCAGCCGGAAGGGGGCGCTGTGGCACGAGCGGCAATGGCGGCGCCGCGCGAAGTTTCATGGGAGTTGAAGTTCCCTCGTGGAAACTCCGCCGGCGCCTGCGCAGTGCAGCCATGGCGTTTAAACAGCCTTCCCTACGAGGGTTCCGAGGCCCCCAGCCCTTTCAGGGACTTCCTAAGCCCCTTCAGGCACCTTCACCCTCCCCTCTGAGCGCCCTCAGGACACCAAATCCCCTCCGCGATCCCCCGACAGCCCCTCACGGACCTCAAAACCTCCTCGGGAACCCCCGAGCCCCTCCTCTCCACTCTGCCGAGCCCTCCAGCCTTCCCACCCACAGCCGCGCTCCCCGCAGCCCCCGAGCGCATCCCCAGCCCCGCCGCAGCCCCCGCCAGGGCTCACAAAGTCGGAGCAGATCCCGCTGTCGCCGCCATCGCTTTCCCGGCAGCCACCGCGGGGCTGTGCGCTCGCACCACCGGCAGAGACCCCACCCCGCCCCCTTTTCCGCGCGGGGCACGCCGGGAGTTGTAGTTGCAGCGGCTCAAAGCTCCAAACTCCCCCAGACTCAATTCCCCACGGGCGTTCCTGGGGCAGAGCGGGGCAGAACCGGGGCGGGGACGGGACGAGGATTCGGTGGAAATCATTATAAAAACTGTAACCCCTGCGTTGGAAGGGACGTTGGTGGGTATGTATTCCTGGAGCCTCATGGAAACCTCTTCTGCTTTTCTGACCTCCTACCTTGTTAGGCCTGGAGTCTTTTTTTCTCTGCAGCCTTTTAGGCAGCAACGTTTATGGGGTTTATGAAGACATGGCCTTTATGAGGAGAGCCTCTGTCGTGGTTTTGCCCTGGTTCAATTTACTTTTACACTCCATACAATTACTATTAGCAGAGAGAAGGTTTATGCAGACAAAAAGAGACTGAATTGAAAAAAAAAAGTATGAGTATTTATTATTAACAAACTAAAACTAAAGAATTATATTTACAACAATTTTACTTCAGTAAAAGGTATTATGTATTTACAGAAGATACTTCTCCCCCCACCTCCCTTTATATCAGTCCAAGGAGGAGAAGCAGTCTTTTTCTGTTCTCAGAATTCCAGCTCTCTCTCTCTCCAGTAACTCTGCAGCACTTTCGTCGCAGTTGGAACCTTTTCTCCTTCTTCTCTATGTCAGCCTCCAGGGCTGGGCCTACCCCCCTCCTTGGCTAAAACCGAAGGCTGGGGGTTACTCAGGTCCTGAAGGGTCTCCTTCCATAGGCTTGCAAGGGGACACTTGCTTACTATGGATCTTCTTCCACAGGGTTACAGGGGATAATGATTTAAGAGTTCACCCCTGTTTCCCTATGGAGGTCCCTCCCCATGGGAGAACAGTCCTTGATAGACTTCTCGGCATGGGTCTAGTCTGGATCCCTTACTCGGATCCCAGTATCCCACCTGAGCCATTTTCTGCTCCAGCGTAGGTTCTCTCTAGCACCAGCAGCACGGATCCCACATGGATCCCAACATCCCTACCTGAACCGTTTTGTGTTCCAGCATAGGTTCTAATACCCGTCAGGGTCATAAATCTTCAACAGCAGCAGCATGGATCTCTCACTGAGATCCCAAGCTTATCTGAGCCGTCTCGCTTCAGCATAAGCATCGATCCCTTCGAGGGTCACAAAGTCTTTAACAGGACTCTGCCTCATCTGAGCCGCTTTACTCCAGCATAAGGCTTTCTCTCTGTTAAAGTCACAAATCTCTGGTGCATCCACAAGCTCCTCTGTGAGCCGCATGGGGGTCTCTTCACCCCAACAAATTTCTACAGGTGGCAGGGTTTTATTTTTCAGTCTTTACCCTGCTGAAGGGAGGGAGAGCGGAAGGGAGAAAAAGCAGCTCTCCCCTTCGAACTTTTCTTCTCTCTCCTGTGCTGCCAGCTTCGACCTTGAAA